CTGGAGCCTGTTTCGGTCTGTGACTCCCTCTCTCTCTGACCCTCCCCTGCTCGTGCTGTCTCTCTCTCTCTCTCCTAGAAATAAATAAAACATTAAAAAAAAAAAAGAAATGATTTCAGATAAAAAGCCTGTTATTGCTTTTTGTAGGTGTCCTTTATTAGATTAAGTAAACTCCCTTCTATTTCTTGTTTGCTCACAGTATTTGTCATGGATGATATTGAATTCTGTCAAATGCTTTCTCAGCACCAATTGATATGATCACATGGTTTCTTCTTTAGACTGTGAACATGGTGGCCACACTGATTTATTTTCCTGGATTGAGCCAGACTTGCATTCCTGGGTTACCCTCCGTGTAGCTGTGGTGCCTTTTTTTTTTTTTTAAACAAATAGTTTATTGTCAAATTAGTTTCCGCATAACACCCAGTGCTCATCCCTACGAGTGCCGTCCTCCATGCCCATCCCCCCTCCCCCCACATCCATCAGTCCTCAGTTTTTGTCAGCATTCAAGAGTCTCTCATGGTTTTCCTCTCTCCCTCTCCCCCACCATTTTGTGGTGCCTTTTAAATATTATTTGCCAATATCTTGTTGAGGGTTTTGTGTCATGTTCGCACTTGTGCTTTGATTTTCTTTTCTCTTGTGAGTTGGATTGTTCTGGTTCCTCATATGCAGGATAATTTTAGATAGTACCCTACATGCTCACAGGTTATGTTATGAATATCTGCTCTTCTAAAAATCCCACTGAGAATGTTGACCTTTTTATTTCAGCACGCAATCAACCAGCCCTCTGTGGTTGCGATTTCAACGTCGGCTCTGTTTTCAAAGCCTTGTCAGTGTTACCTGGGTCCGTCCTGTGTGGGCACTACCCGTGGCTGGTGCGGGGCTCGGCCGTGGTCTGCCTGTAGCTCCGTGTGCAGACCTGGCGTGCGCGCACGGCTTGGGGTGAGCCCAGAAGGCATGAACATCATGGGGATACTTTCTGGCTCCCTGGGGCTCCCCTTTCCAGTGCTCTGGCAGAAGCCTGCGGCTTTGGTCACCCTGCCTCCTGCGCGCTCCCCGAGACGGGGCCTGCGACTTGGACGGAGAGCAGGGCTTGGCTTTCTCCCCTTCCCACCCTCTGGGGACCACGTCTCCTCCCACAGGAGAAGGCGGCTCCCCCCAATGAGGCACACGTGAACTGGTGCCTACACTGCAGGCTGGGGGGGGGGTTGCCCGGGGGGCACGAGGGAGGGAGAGGAGAACCCCCCCGACACTCTGCCCGGAGCCCCCCCAGCCTCTGTGAGCCTCTGGAGCCCCTTTCTTTCCTGCCTCCTGAGCCCGAATTAGAGGGCTCCCCTGCCGCTTTCTCTGTCCACGCCCCCACCCCATTTCTAGCTTTCAGGCTGGGGTGAGTCCTGGCCAGAGGTATGGCGGGAGCGCCTGAGACCCCCCTCCGCTTCGGCGGCGCTTCGGATTCTGGCTTCCACACCACACCGTCTGCCCGGTGCTGCTTCCCTGAGCCCTCGCACGAGCTGGGCGTTGCTTTCTCCTCGCTGCTTCATGTCTCGCCCACAAAGGGGACCCAGGACATGAAAAGAATAAGGCAACACACGTGAGCCCCCGGGCTCGAGTCTTACTGGTGTGTGTGTGTAAGCACACACTTACCCTAGACCACAGGCGGGTGCCGCATGAGCTCTGTGAGCACCCCCCACGCATCGCTCCAGAGCGGGCACAGCGCACCTGCCCAGGGACACAGCCGGCTGCTCTGACACCGCATTCCCCCCGGGCGTCCGGAGCACGTCTCTTCCTTTCTCGTGGCGTAGACGTGGTCCTTGTAAAGAAGATCTTTTTGTTTGTTTGTTTGTTTAACCAGAATGATCGTCTTGGCCTTTTAATGGGAGAGTGCAGTCCATTTAAATTTGATGTAATCACTGATATAATGGTGTTTAAACCTGCCATTTTATTTATTTAAAAGTATTTTTTTAATGTTTATGTATTTTTGAGAGAGACAGAGCACAAGCGGGAGGGGCAGGGAGAGAGGGAGACACAGAATCTGAAGCAGCTCCAGCCTCTGAGCTGTCAGCACAGAGCCCGACGCGGGGCTCGAACCCACGGACCATGAGGTCATGACCTGAGCTAAAGGTGGACACTTAACTGACTGAGCCCCCGAGGCGCCCCTAAATCTGCCATTTTAAAAAGTTTTCTTGGGGTGCCTGGGTGGCTTAGTCGGTTAAGCGTCCGACTTTCGCTTAGGTCATGATCTCGCGGTTCGTGGGTTCGAGCCCCGCGTTGGGCTCTGTGCTGACTGCCAGCTCAGAGCCTGGAGCCTGTTTCAGTCTGTGACTCCCTCTCTCTCTGACCCTCCCCTGCTCATGCTGTCTCTCTCTCTCCTAGAAATAAATAAAACATTAAAAAAAAAATTAAAAAAAAAGTTTTCTAATTTCTGCAGCTGCTCTATTTCCATGCACCCCCTTTTTTTGGGGGGGGATTGACTCTTAAAACCAACTCCATGAGCTTCTTTCTGCACTGTGTTCATGACCCCTGATGCTCCGGCGGGCGTTTACAGGGCGCTTGCTGAAGTCCCCAGCGCTCTTCGCACCCTCTTGTTTCCTCTTGTTCTACATGCTGTTGTCAGGTACGTTCCAGTGTCGTGTTTTCTACACATTGTTTCTCAGCATTTTTTTTTTTTAATATTCTTATTTATTTCTAGGAGAGAGAGAGAGACAGCATGAGCAGGGGAGGGTCAGAGAGAGAGGGAGACACAGACTCTGAAACAGGCTCCAGGCTCCGAGCTGGCAGTCAGCACAGAGCCCGACGCGGGGCTCGAACCCACGAACCGTGAGATCATGACCCAAGCGAAAGTCGGACACTTAACCGACTAAGCCACCCAGGCGCCCCTGTTTCTCAGCATTTCATCGCTCTCTTTCCTCCCTGCTTCCCCGCCCTTATTCTCTTTGCCTAAAGAGAAACTTTTATGCTGTTTTGCTGCAGGCCTGCTGCAAACTCTCTCAGTTCTGGTTTGAGTAAAGAGTGACTCCAGGCCAGCATCCCCTCCCTCCCCTCTTGCTGCTGCAGCAAAGGGCCGCGCGCTGAAAGCAACAGCAGACGCTACCTCACAGCCGCCGAGGTCAGCAGCCGCACTGCGCTCAAATAGAGAATGGCTCCTTCCGGAGGCTCTGTTGTCTGGCTTCCCCAGCTTCTAGGGGCCAGCGGCACCCCTGGGCTCACAGCCCCTCCTCCGTCGTCCCTGCCCGGCTTGGGGCCCCACAGTCTTTCTGACTCTCCCGCCCTCGCCCCCCACCCCTTGTGATGACGCTGGACCCACTGATGACCTGGGAGAACCTCCCATGTCAGGCCCACCATGTCATCACACCTGCAAACTCCCAGGTGCCACATAAAGTAATATGATCACAGGTTTGGCGGATGAGGACGTGGGCCTCTCTGGGGCCGTCCCTCTGCCGACACAGCCGGCGCCTTCCTGCACTGGATCAAAGTTGCCGTCCCTGTGAGTCCTGGGTTGTGCTGCGGCAGCTGAGAAGTCCACTGTCACACAACTCTCGGACTTCTGCCACCGGGCTGCCTTTCAGGTTTTCTTTGTCTCCAGTTTTCACCAAAGACAAAGATTATATGATGTGTGTAGGTGTGGGGTTTTCGGATTTTTCTAGAACTCGAGGGGTTAGTCGGGCCGCTTGCATTCAGGCTCTGCCGTCTCTAGCAGAGACAGAAGCTCCTCAGAGCTCTGCTGTGTCTTGCTTGGGGCCCTGGGCTTCCGGCCCAACACGGAGCAGAACTGCCCCCCGGGGGGCCCCCGCCCCGGCCCCCCGCTTCAGCCGACCTGCGCTCAGGTCTTCCCCAGCGCGTCCACCCTGGGGTCACACTCCCTTTGATCCTTAGTTTTGGCTACTGTTTCTCAGCCCTACACGTTCTGTTTAGCGCCTTCCCCCATCTTCTCTATCACATCGTCTCCAGGGCCGCGTGCTGGACTGCCTCTGGCCCCTGCAGTCCCTCAGGCGTCGGGGTCGCTCCCTGTGGGCCTCAGTCTGTGTTTCTGCTGGCTCGCTCCTGGGGTCCAGTCTGGCAGCCTGCGGTGTTTGAAAAATCACTTGTGGGATAACTGAGGCTTCGACCCGGACACTGCCCTCCCCGGGGGGTTTCACATGCCTCCCCTGGGCACTGGGGGTGAGGCCTGCCCCCCGGTCACCTGCAGCCAAGTTCAAAGCCGAGACCGTGGTTGGCTCCTTCCTGGCTGGGACCCCACCCACTCTGGGCCTGCCTGCTCTCACCCTCCGCCCTCCAAGAGCTCGATGACCAGCACACAGTTCACCGGGCACGGCTGTCAGAGGCGTGAGGTTGCTCTCGCTCCTGAGGGGCTCTGGGTGCCCGCGAGCCCCCCATGGTCCCTCTGTGTGGATTTGGTTCAGCTCCGTCAGCCTTCCAGGCAGGCGGGGGGCGTGGAGCCCATCCTCGTGACTGCATGGAGTGATGGCCAGTGGGGAGGGGCTGCGGCCAAGGCGGGCAGTCAGCCCCCAGAGTGGAGGGGACAGCTGGGTGGAGGCCAGCTCTGGAGTGAAGTGCACGGGGTCAGGGATGCCACCCCAAGGCAGGGCGTGTGGTGTTCCAGCCAGGGGAGCCGCCGAGACAGCGTGCGTGGTGGGGAAACGAGCCTGGCAAGCCCGTGAGGGGCTGTCTTGAGAGATATGGGGGGGGGGGCGGGGGGGCCAGGGCTGGGGGCAGCTCTGCAGTCAGGCCTGGGTGCCCCAGTCCTCTGGTCAAGACCACAGGGACTCCTTGTGGGGGGGACACAGTCAGACTGGCAAGTTGGGAAGGTTAATCATGGGTGGAACTATGTCTCCGCAAAGATAAGTTTAAGTCCTGACCCTGGAACATCCAAATGCAACCTAATTTGGAAACGAGGCCTTTGCAGATGTCATCAAGTTAGGATGAGGTCATTAGGCTGGGCCTTTCCAGCATCACATGTTTTCACAAGAAGACAGACGCACAGGGAAAGGCCGCGTGATGTCCGAGGCAGATGGGAATGGTGCGTCCACAAGCCAAGGAAGGGGAAGGGCTGCTGGCAGCCGCCAGCAGCTGGACAGGCAAGGAACAGACTGTCCCCAAGGAGCCACCCTGGAGCCCTAACTGTCCTCACCCCTCCCGGAGCCCACCCTCGGGGCCCACGCCTCCATCCTGAGGTGACAGAAACACAGCGAGAAGAGCCAGGAGGGTGAGCACCGTGAGGTCAGAGGGGTGCAGGGCCCCCGGGGTTGGGGCAGGAGGCGTGCAGGGCCCTGGGGGCAGGGCGGGAGGCGTGCAGGGCCCTGGGGGCGGGGCGGGAGGCGTGCAGGGCCCCGGGGGGTGGGGCAGGAGGCGTGCAGGGCCCTGGTGCAGCCTTTAGCCTTGAGGCTAAAGATTGAGCTTTTTGAGCACACCCTTGGGTGAGGTGGGCAGGGCTGAGGAGAGGCGGGGAGAGGCTGCAGGGGCCAAGGGGGCAGCCCCTCCCGATAGGGAGGTGCTTCTGGTTTCTTCTTAGGCAGCCTGTCCCTCCTCTGCCTCCTGGGGCTACCAGGGTGCGGCTGGTGCTGCCCACTGCCCGGGGTGCCGGGGTGGGGGGTATGCCCTGGGCCTTCTCGCCACCTCCTTCTATGCTGCCTTTGGTCCCTTGAGGCAGGGGGCTTCCGGAGGCCTCTCTCTGGGGGAGATGACCCATCCCTAGGGGTCTGGGACCCCTCCCTGGGTACAAAGGCAGCTTCAGGGTCCTGACCACACTGGGTTCTGACAGTGAAAGCAATGTGGGGGCTGGTATTTCTCAACCAGCCATCCCAAGGGGCTCCCGGATTAAGCATCTCATAGTCCCTCACCTGTGCTTCCTGCGGGTGGCCTGGTACCCTGGCTTCCCTTCAGCTGGAGATGTCCCCACTCCCAGCGCTGAGGGAGGGGGCAGTCCAAGTCGCCTGAACAGACCCCATCACCTGTGCGGACCCAGGCACAGCTCAGGACCTCAGTGTAGGCAGATCCGGGTGTGAGTCGTGTTTCACCCCTTTCACCAGGTGGATCCTGGGGGCCCCTTCACCTCTCACCCTCCATCTCTGCCTCTGTTGGAGCGACAGGGGGACGTGTGAGCAGCTCTGGGGAGATCAGGCATTAGGTGCCCTCCCCAACAGGCTGGGTGTGTGTGTGGGCACAGTGGTGACAGGTTGGAGGAAAGAAGCCTGAGCCTCCAAACCCTAGCGAGAGCCCCGGGCTGACGATGAAGACCACCGGCTGCTCCTGTCTTCCACCCTCCACCTCCGCACGGAACCCAGGAAGGCTGGAGAAATCCAGGACCCAGGGCGTCTTCGGGACAGGCCCCGAGACCCACCGCACCTCTCTGTCCCCACACGCCGCTGGCACAGGGCTGGTGGTCAGCCCGGCCCCGTGTCGCGACCAGCTCCGCGGTCCACGGGCTGCCTGTCGAGGGCGAGTGGGGTCACCCTGGTGGGCGGCCTGGGTGGGGCTGCAGCGGGATTTCAGGGCGCGAGAGGGACCGAAGACCTGGCTGTGGGGGGAAGCGGGTGCAGGGGCTTCCCGGGGATGGTGCGCCGGTCCGGCGGTGTCCCGCTCCCCGGGGCCAGCCCGCGGTCGCCGGCACTGCTGCGGCGCAGGGCTGTCGCCGTGGCAACCGGTGCTGCGGGGGCGGGGCGCCAGGACCCCTACCGCGCGGGGCGGGGCCTCGGGGGGCGGGGCCTCAGGCGGAGCGGGGGGCGCGCAGAGGAGCGAGGGGAGCGAGCACGGCGCAGGGAGCGCGGCCTCGGCCCGGCGCGGAGGCTCCGTGGGCCGGCGGCTGGTAGGCGCGGGGCCGGGGGCGCGAGCGGGGGGCCGGGCGCGGGGGCCGGGCGACGCCGCGGCGCTGCAGGGCTGAGTCCTGGCTTGGGGCGCCGGCGGCGCGGGCAGAAGTGCGGAGACGCAGCCTGTCGGGAGCGGCCTCGGTCTGGTGGGCGCTGGCGGTCCCTTCCTGTCCCCATCGGTGGGCACCGCAGGGAGGGCTTGGGGTGGGCCCGGCAGGGGGCACGGAGGGCTGGGGCCAGCTCCCTGGGGAGAGGCCGGGCAGGGCGTGCGGGAGCAGTGGTCAAGCCCTTCCTCGGGCAGGGGCGGGGGCTCCTCCCGCGAGCTCCGGTCGGGATGGGGTCTCTCCTGGCATCGTCAGCCCGGGTTTGGTGAGTGGCTGGGAGGGAACGAGAACGCCAAGGAGTAGATGGGGAGGGGTGGGCGGTGCAGTGGCTCTCTGGCTATTGGCCTGGCCAAGGGCTGGAAGGAAGGCAGTTCTCAGGCCGCTGCTGGAACCAGAGGAGGCCAGGTGGGAGGGGGCTCCCCGGGTCACGCGTGCCCAGCCGGTGGCTGAGAACGGGGTGAGTGTGTGGGCGGGGAGCAGGGGCTCCAGGCACTGTTTTGGTAGGGACACAGGGCGATGACCCCGCCCCCCCAGGCACCCTCCACTCGAGGTGTCTGAGCTCACAGTGTGGGGGGGGGGGTCCTGTGTGTGGCTGCAGAGACCCCTGGGTGGGGCAGCAGCCGTGCTGAGGTCAGGAGTGGGGGCGTGAATTTGGAGGAGGGCCTCCTCCCTCAGTCTTGGGGGCGGTGTGTCACTAGGGGCAGGTTTCACAGGCACGGGGTGACATTAAATTTTATGTCCTTGTCTAGACAGGGCAGTAAACAGAGCCCGGGGCCAGGGGTGCTGTGGAGGAGAGGAGGGGCGGGCTGAGGGGGCCTGGCTGGAAGTGAGCGGAAGTAAGTCTGCAAAGTGACTTTCAGCGGGTGAGGGGCGCGGGCCCAGGTGTGGGGACCCAGTCTGGTGCGGGGCTGTGACAGCACAGTCACAACGACGCCGAGGGTGTGAGAGGTGCAGGGGGCTGCAGAGCCCGCGGGGGGCGGGCTTCCCGAGACGGCCCCACAGCTGCGGGGTGCAGGGAGCGGCAGAGGCCCCCCTTCGCGGGGAGCAGGGCAGCGTGCGGGGCTGGAGATGAGGCCGCGGCGCGAACCTCTGTAGGCAGTGGGAACCCTGGTGGGAACCGGGCAGGGAACGGTCCGCGGCCTGCGGAGGGTGGACGGGCCCGCCCAGGCGGGGATGGGGTCCTCAGGACTTGGATGACCCTCAGTGCCGGACCAGAAGGCACGCCCGGAGCCCCGGCGCGGCGCTGGAGGGGGGGGCCTGGGCCTCCGCGGGCAGCGGGCGCTCCGGGAGCGCTGGGGCGCGCAGCACGGAGGCCACGGGCCCGCCCCCCGCCCGGCGAGGCGCCCGGGGGCGCGAGGACGCCGGGGCCCCGCGGCACGTCGGAGGGTCGGCGGCGTGGGCCCCGGGGACGCGCGCGGCGGGAGAAACCACTTCCGTTGCATTTCCTTCCCGGCGGCCGCGGGAGCCCGGCGTCGGCGCTCGGGCGGGGCTGCAGCGCCCCCTGGAGGCCCCGCTCCCGGCACCGGGTCCCCGGAGCGCGCCGGCGCGTGCGTGGACAGAAGCCCCCCGGCGCCCCCGCGCGGGCACAGCGGGGGCCGGGGGAGGGCGGAGGCTGCCCCGGGCCGCGCCCTGACGTCCCTCTGATCTCCCCAGGTTCCGAGCTCGCCGGCCGGCAGCAGTGGCGCCCTCGCAGCGGCTGGCCGGGCCCCGGCGCGCCATGCCCGCGGGCTGAGCGCCGCCGCCGCCGCCGGGCCTCCTCCCGCCTCGCGTGGGGGCCGGGCGCGTCCAGGCCGGGGCCGCGGCGGCCGACCATGGTGCTGCCGCCCCCGGACCGGCGCCACGTGTGCCTGACCACGCTGGTGATCATGGGCAGCATGGCGGTCATGGACGCGTACCTGGTGGAGCAGAACCAGGGCCCGCGCAAGATCGGCGTGTGCATCATCGTGCTGGTGGGCGACGTGTGCTTCCTGCTGGTGCTGCGCTACGTGGCCGTGTGGGTGGGCGCCGAGGTGCGCACGGCCAAGCGCGGCTACGCCATGATCCTCTGGTTCCTGTACATCTTCGTGCTGGAGATCAAGCTCTACTTCGTCTTCCAGAACTACAAGTCGGCGCGGCGCGGCGCGGCCGACCCGGTGGCGCGCAAGGCGCTGACGCTGCTGCTGTCGGTGTGCGTGCCCGGCCTCTTCCTGCTGCTCGTGGCGCTCGACCGCATGCAGTACGTGCGCACCTTCCGCAAGCGCGAGGACCTGCGCGGCCGCCTCTTCTGGGTGGCGCTGGACCTGCTCGACCTGCTGGACATGCAGGCCAGCCTGTGGGAGCCGCCGCGCAGCGGGCTGCCGCTCTGGGCCGAGGGCCTCACCTTCTTCTACTGCTACATGCTGCTGCTGGTGCTGCCGTGCGTGGCGCTCAGCGAGGTCAGCATGCAGGGCGAGCACATCGCGCCGCAGAAGATGATGCTCTACCCCGTGCTCAGCCTCGCCACCGTCAACGTGGTGGCCGTGCTGGCGCGAGCCGCCAACATGGCGCTCTTCCGCGACAGCCGCGTCTCGGCCATCTTCGTGGGCAAGAACGTGGTGGCGCTGGCCACCAAGGCCTGCACCTTCCTGGAGTACCGCCGCCAGGTGCGCGACTTCGCGCCGCCCGCGCTCGCGCTGGAGCTGCAGCCGCCGCCGCGCAACGCGGTGCCGCCGCCGCCGCCGCTCCAGGGCGCGCCGGGCCGCCCCCGCGGGCCCTCGCCCCCGCGCGACGCCCTGGGCACGTGACCCGGCCCCCGCCACCCGCGTGGGGGGGGCGGGGTGGGGGCGGGTCCCCCACGCGGCCAGGGTTGCCTCGTGCCCCGGCCGGGGGGGCGGCGCCGCGGGCCGCTTCTTCATCTCAGGAATCCCTCGGACCGCGGACTCGCAGCCCAGCTCGCCCAGCCTGCCCCCAGCGCCCCCAGCGCCCCTGGGGGAACGGGGTGCTGGCTGGGAAGGGAGGACAGAGTGGGCGGAGGTCCGGTCCCTTGGGGTCCCTTGGTGGGGGCCTCTGGCTCAGAGTTTGGGGCCACGGAGGCCTCTGTCCTTTTAAAGACTCGTGTTTACAGTTTTGTATCCAAAACCGCACTGCCCTGCCTGTTTCCTGAGTCCAGTTTCTGACGGCGGGGCCGGGTAGGAGGAGGGGTATGAGTGTGAACGCGAAGTGAGGGGTCTGGCCCAGCCCCCTCCCTGGGCCCCCTCCCGAGGCGGGCTCTCAGGAGGTCGAGCTGTTGCAGAGACACTCTCCCCTCCAACGTCACTGTCCCCACCTGCACAGGTGACATCACCCCAACTCTGCCCTTCGTGGACTACCCTGCTACCCTCGTCTCTGCCTGCACACTTGAGGCCTGGCAGTGCCCCCAAGCCCCTGGTTCTCTCCTCAGTGTGGGAGTGGGAGGTGGGGGGGAGGGGCCAGATGTGGGATCAGGTGGACATTTGTGCCCAGGTGGACATTGGAGCCTGAGGCCAGGGGCGTGGAGCCTGGCCCCGCCTCACCTGGGCCTGGTGGGGATAGACACCCATGGAGCCCACAGCTGCGGGGCCCAAGCCGCACGGTACCCTGGGGGGGCAGACGGGCGGAGAGGACGCTTGAGGCTACCTGACCTGTCACTTGAGAGCACACGACACCACCCGCAGGTGGCCTCTCACCTGGCCTCTGCCCAGCACCATGCACGTGTGATGTGGCCCTGGGGACCCACCAGCCAAGGAGGGTCTCTCTAACATTTCGGGAGGGGACCCTTTGCCTTGGGCCGTACGGGGCTGTTGACGCGGCTGTTGGAGGGCCCCTGGCTGGTGGCTGCAGGCGCTGTGTCAGACGGCAGGTGTGGTGGACTAGCCCTTGTCATGGAGCCGCGTGGCGGGCCAGACGTGCTCAGTGCGTTTTGCCTGTGCTGCCCGAAGACAAGGCCCGCTATCCCTGTCTGTAGACAACAGCTCCCGGAAGGGCCCAGAGCTGTCGGTGCAGAGCAGGGACCTCTCTGCCCCCCCTTCCTTCCAAAGCTCAGAGGGGGGCTGGCTGGCTGCTCCCCCTCCCCTATCTTTCCTCTCCCCCAGCTTGCGATTGCCTGAGGTCTGGCTTTTGGGAGTTGAATGCCTCCCAGGCAGCTGGCCTTGGTGACCACTGCCCCCAGGTGCCATTACACCCTGGCTACAGCCTTGTCCATGTCTTCCAAAAAGACCACTTGCCCCCCCCCCAACCTTGGCAGCCTCTCTCTGAGCCCGGGGAGCCCAGGTGGGGAGCAGGGGAGGCTCTCTCCTCCTGTGTTGGCACGTGGCGGTGGGGTCGGGCGGGGCGGGGAGAAGTGGAGGGCGCTGCAGAGGGAGCTGCCCCAGAAAGGCCACAGGCCAGGCGTGGAGGGCTGCAAGGGGCCCAGCCCGCAGGTGGGGCAGGGTGTGCATGCGGTCTTGGTCTGGGGTGGGGGCGGCAGGTGAGGCTGAGGGCCAGCTGCTGCCCCTGAGCCAGCGTTGGCCCGTCCTGTCCCCACCGGTGTCTCCGGCTGTGTCCTCGGTGTGTCCAGAGCGCAGGAGCTGGCTCCCGGTTCCTGCCGGCCTCTCTCCACCTCCTGCACCGGGTTCCCGCCTGCTTTGCGTCTTATCTGCAGAGACTGTTCTCAGAGGAACCCGTGCTGGCCCTCAGGTGGGCGAGGCAGTGATGTGGAATATTTTGTGGGGTCGGCTTTGCTCTGAGGCCCCCACATCCAGTGTCAGAGGTGGGAACTCCACTGGCCTCCGTTGGCCTCCCCAGACTGTTTAGTGCCGAGGACAGTGCCCCCCAACCCCCGTCCTGACTTGGTTTAATGGCCCACGTGCCCTTCCTCTGTCTCTGGCCTCAGGACACCTGTGGGGCCAGCGAGGCCTGTGGCCGGTGCTCACTGTTGTCCTGACCACTTGGGCCCGGTTGCAGCCGGGCTGGGAGCTGGGGGCGTCAGGTGGGCTCGTGGCCTGGGGAGTCCATCCTCAGGGGTCTGCCTTGGTGACAAGACGCAGACCCAGCCACATTCCAGCCTGCCCTTTCTCTGGCTTCCCGAGGTGGCCTGTGATGGCCGGACGCAGAGGAGGCAGCCACTGGTCCCTTGTTTTCTGCTCTCTCAGCTCACAGGTCCTGAGGCAGCATCTGCTGTGGCTGCGTGTGGGCCCCGATGCTGAGCCCGGCCAGACACCATCCCTGTTCGTGTGGGGGGTGGGCTTGTGGGGCGGCCCGACTCTGGAGGAGGGGCAGGCCGTGCTTGGGCCTGGGCAGAGCAGGGACGCCTTCCTCAGACGGTTGGTGGAGTGTCCTGGGGCCAGTGTGGTGGTCACTAGGCCAGCAGGGCAGGGGCAGCTCACAGGGCCGGGGGGCACCTGAGAAGCCACTGGGGACTTGTGGGTGGTGGCTGGGCTGGACAGCTCACGCGTGGTGGGAAGAGAAGGAAGAGGGGCCAGCTCCTGGGGAGGGGCAGCTGCAGGGGGAGGGTCAGGGAGGGGGCGGGGCCGTGGGGTACCGGGCAGAGGGCCAGAGAAGGGGTGTTTCCAGGAGCCCACGCCCCTCCTGCAGCCCCTTCCTTCCAGGCAAGTCACATGCTGCGTCCTTCCCCATCCTCTGCCGACAAGAAAGTCAGCTGGGGGTCGGAGGAGAAAACCCCAATACAGTAACAGCTGGATGGTGATTCGCGTCAGTGCCTCACGGTCAGGAGTGCCCTTCTCCCAACTTGGGCTGTCCTGGCCAGATGCCCGGCAAGCTGGCCCTGCCAGGATCTGAGGTGCCGACCCACGCCCACCGTGCGCCTTGGGTCTGGACGCCGGTGAGGTCCCCAGCTGGGGCGGTGCTCCTGGGGCCTGGGAAATCAGGTGCCAGCACTCTTGTTCTAAGAAGGCCCCAGCCTGGTCACCTTCTCCAAAGGGCTCAATGTTAGCTTATTTCTAGGTGGGCCTTGAGGACATTTGTCACTGAGCGCAGAGTTGGAGGTAAGCCCCCCCAGGGTGGCTACCTCTCGCTGGACGACCATCCGTCTGCCTGTATCCGCCATCCTGGAGGGTTGGTGACGTCTCCTTGGGTGGTCGGTCCCAAGGGTCCACAATACACCAGGTTCACATCTTAAAAATAGCATCCAAGGGCAGGGACCTGGGGCCCCTCCCATAGGTAGGAAAATCTCTCTCTGAAGTCTCAGACAGGGGTCCGCCCCCGCCCTGCGCTCCAGATCCTGCCCCCTCCACAGCCTGTCTACTGATGGCTGGCCACGGGGGGGGGGGGGGCACGGGGAGGGCAGGGACCGCCCCAACATGCCGCCTGGTTCCTCTGCCCGCAAGCCCGAAGGGGAGATGGGAGGGCAGGCGGTGCGGCACACACAGCTGGCGGGGCCGCCCACCCTTTGGCATGACCCACGAGTGAGTCTCTGCTGGGGCATCTGAGGTGCTGCCGCGTGGGCCCAGCTGCCCGTCGATGCCGCAAGTATCATCAGTCGCGTTGCTGAGACTTTCTGCACAATGCTGGCGCACATCCAAGTCCCCGAGCAGTGAACCCCCCACTGGGCCACCCGCCCCCTCGGCCTGCACCGTCCTGCGAACCACACCCTTCCCAGGTGGTCCCCACAGCAAGGACTCCAGCCGCTCCTGAGCCTTGGGAAGGCGTGTGGTGTCCCTCAGCCCAGCGCCGGCTCTGGCCGGACCCCCGCCCACCCTCCCGAACCCGAGAGCCAGGGCCCTCCGCGCCCCCTTCCTCCCCTGGGGCAGTGGGGTCAGCCCTCCTTCTGCCCGTGGGGAGCACAGACACAGACCAGACGCAGCCTCGGAAAGACAAAGCGTTTGAACTTCTGACCCTTCGTCTCCCAGCCCAAATCACATTCACATTTTCTGTAGCAAAATGGCCTCGTAATAATAGAAACTCAATTTGGCCAAATCACACCCACTCGTCTTCAGTGACACCTCACACCTCACGGGGTCAGATTCCTTCTGTTGGGAGAGTAGCGGCACGAGAGGAGAAGCCGGCACCACCGCCCAGTTCCCGATGGCCGCCATGCCCCCCGCTTCTCCGGGGGTCCTTTGCGGGTGGCCCCCGGCTGAGGGATGGGGCCCCACTTCTGGCGGAATCAAGGTAGCTGCCTTCTAAGCAGGAAAGACTGAGAAAGCAGCCGGATCCCGGGCTGAGAGCTGCCCGAGGGTGGGGGTGCGGGTCCGGAGCTTGAGCGGCTGCGTCGGGCTCAGGCAGGTGCACCGGGCGGCCGGGCTGCCCCGCTGCGGGCAGGCGGGCAGGTAGGGCTGCAGCGGGGAGCTGAGAGCAGAGGGGCCGAGGGCGGTGGTTCTGCAGGGAAACGGAGCCAGAAGGACAGACAGACACGCACAGAAAGAGATGTATGTCCCAGCCTCCGTGTCTGCAAGGGGGGGCCCAGGCGAGCCCGGGGCTCCGTTCAGGCCAAGCGCAGAGGTCCGGGAACCAGGAGTGCCCGTGTCTGTCCGAGGGCAGAAGGCGGGTGGACCTTGCAGTCCCTCCTGGTCCATGCTGGGGGAGCCACCCGCTTCAGTCTGTCCACCGACTCGGTGCCTGTCTCTGGAGACGCCCAGACGGACACCAAGGGGAGTGTCGGACACGCCAGCCTCGTGTCCCGTGGCCCCGTCCGGAAAAGAAAAGTCCACGGGTACGGGGGCAGGACACCAGGGCTGGCAGCCATGGTGCGGGGGGGAGATGCCCACGGGCTTGTGAGGCCCCGCGGTCGCCCCTGCGTGGTGACAAGAACCAGCTTTCCTTTGGGGTCACCCCGTAACCTCCCCAGCCCAGAGGTCAGTGTGGACGGACGGCATCCCTTCAGGGGCTGGTGGGTCTGTCCGTCAGTCACTGGGGATGAGGTGCTAGCCTCCCACTGACCGTGGACTCATCCGTGTCCCCCAGGAGATGGTGGCGAGGGACGCGGACCGTCGTGCTGCTCTCGCATGCGAGTCTGACAGGCTGTCCGGCTGCTGGTGTGTCTCAGCCTGTCAGGGACACGCTCCTCCCCGCAGGTCCACCTTTAAGGGGACACTGGTACGGTGTCTGCGTGGCTCTCAGGAGCTGGGGTGAGGCACCTGGCTTGCACCCCACTGTCCTAAACCCGAACACGTGGGTACCCAGAGCTGCTGGGCGCCCAGGGGC